CGATAATAATCCGGCAGTATAATATGCTCACAACAATAAGTCAAGTGGTGCTGCCAAACACATTGACATAAAGTATTATGTTGTGAAAAATAAAGTCCGAGATCATGTCATAAGTCTTGAGCATGTAAGTACCGAAAAGATGCTCGCGGATGCGCTTACAAAAGGCTTACCACCCAACGTGTTCAGAGAACATGTAGCCGGCATGGGTTTAAGGGAAAGCCTATAATTCCTGGACAAAGAAGGCCCAAAAGTTAAGTATCTATTTCAGAACAGAGTGGTGTGTTGTAGTTGTTAAATCTATCGGCAATTGACCATGACGATGAAACATGCTCTATACACTAATCTATAATGGAATGAACAAAAGTAAATGATATGAAATTGAAAGATGGTAGGAGATCAAGGGAGAGATTGTTAGATTGATCTCTAATCCCAAATTGGACCCAATGGCCCAATTGGGTCTTTGATCCGCGCCTTGATCGGGGGCGCCCAGCCCACTATGGCTGGAGAGCCCCTGTCACACTGCGCAATAAATAGAGGTGGGGGCCGGCGGCTCTGAGTACGAGGTTTGCTTGAGCCGAGCTCCCCACCAACAAACCCTAACCCGATTAGAGAGGGGCATAGCCAGTGACGGGAAGCCACCAGCTGCGCCGCCACCGGTCTTCACCGCCGGTCGCCACCGCCCATCACCGTCACCATCTTCACCGACCGTCGCTGCCTGTGCGCAGACTTCACCGACTCCATGGCAGACACGAGCGGATCCTCCTCCAAGGGCACAGACGGCCAGCCCTTTCCATCCCTTACTCTCCCTCTAGATCTAGTAGTTCAAAGTTCTAGGGTGTGTTCATCATATTTATAGAAAGATGTATCCGCTAGATCTACGACTAAGGTCCTGTTCTTCCTAACATATATGTCCATGTATACACCCGTCGACCTATCACGCGTACATCATAAAAAAATATAGTACTGTACTGCTATTCCTCGATCCCAAAAAGTCAACATCACTTGGCCCATGTAATACGAGAATACCGTCGCTTTTGTGTACTCCTTGTACTGTACTATACCGCCACCCATGGCAGAACCTGAACTGATGTTGGCCCTGTTCGCTTCGTACTTTTTCAGCGAATGAACAATGTTTTCTCTCACAACAAATCAGTCAACGATACTTTTTAGCCTGGCTTATCAGCCAAGCGAACAGGGCCGCTGACTCTGCAACGAGTGAAATTCTCTTGGGCAACTAATATAAAGTCAAGGATATACGATTCATTGTCAAACTCACGACTATATGCCTGATTTGTTTAAAAAAACTCACGACTATAAATTAATTAATTGAACACCTCTCCACATATCTCAAGATGAATCTCCGCTAGTTTTAAGTTATACTATGGAGGGCCTTCTTTTTTACATGTACACGAATGAGAGTTTCGGTAGGTTGCTTCTGATACCCTAGTGTAACATGACCTGATCCAATGATGTACAGGCTTCAGGCGAGATGCACAATCCACCAAAATTCAAGGGTCTTCGCCAAAAGGTTGTGATTTATGAACCATATGGCCATGGGAATGTTTTAGCCGCTGAAATTCACAACAGATAAAGCAGAATGGTCAGTTGGCGAGTTGTAGCAAGAACAAGATTAGTGAAGGATTCTAACAACCAGCTATACACTGAACCAAACAGAAATCCATTAAGAGATAGTTTTAACATAGTGGCTCTAAACATCGAATGCCCAAGTTGGATTGCAAATAGTTAAAATCATATATCTAATTACAATTACAACATCAGATTTCTATATTAAAAGGGGTTATTTTTACAATTTTACTGAACCAAAATTCAGCACATGATGCACAATGCAGAACATGGGATGGTTACTACTAGCTGTTCACAATGCATCACAAACCCATGAGTCATGAGCATACCATGACCAACAATGCTAAGTGCTTTGTTGTATTTTTGTTTTTCACTGACAGATTGATACCATCTTGTTGAAACAAAGACAAGCCTGTCTTCGCCTTTCATTACGTCGCGGAAGGAAGCGTATGCTGGACACAACCCCATTACACATGAATGACTTGTCACATAGTCAGAACATCACTGTAAGTAACGACAAGCAATACCCTACTACTTGGCCACGGGCGTCCGCCTCCATCCAGACGCCATCTTCGTGGGCTTGCACAAAGGACATGCCTACCAGGTGTTCTCTTCCCCACTCACACCCGCATTCGGCTGTCGGGCGTCGCCATGCATCTGCTATTGCCAAGACTTCGCTCTCGCCTCGTCGGCGGCGCCACCATCCCGCCGCCGCCCTATCCTTTGTCATGGCCCTATCCACCTCGCCTGTCGCGGCCATGGTAGGCACCATGCCACCACCACCTCGGTGACGCCAGGAGGAGGTCGCCGCCGGTCCAGACTTCACCCCCCGCGGCCGGCTGAAGACACCACGATAGGAAGGGTGGCTCGCGCACATGGGCCGCTTGCTCTTGATGTTCCCTCGAACCCGAGCTCATTAGCTCTCGCAATCCCCCACACCGTAGGCTATGGACCTTGGCGACGCCTTGCGTGTTTCAAGTGTTTCAGCCGTTTCAGACTTATATATCAAGCGTTTCATCTGAATGTTGCAAAAAAAATGATCTTGGATGTTGCATATGTTGCAAGTCTATGTTTCAAGTGTTTCATGTGTTTCAAACGTTTGTTTCAAATCTTTCATCCCGATGTTTCAAAAGTCGATCTAGTGTTGCACATGTTGCAATTGCTATACACGCATGTTTCAAGTATTTTATCTATTTTCAGACGTATGATGCAATTGTTTCATTTAGATGTTTCAAAAGTAGATCTTGTGTTACAACCGCCATCCGCCTGGTGGTGGTGGTGCGCCGCTGTGATTCACGTGCCAGTGCCTGAGGCTTGCAGACACCTCCATGACGCTTGCGATCAATGAAGCGGGCTGTGGGCGTGGTCACTATTTGGCTATGCGGGTGGGGGGGGTAAGATGGGCTCGGTTCCACCGTGCAGGTGCGGCATGGGTACGGGGTGCGGTTTCTCCGCGCGGAGCAGGATGGCCGTGGGGGCGTGGTTCCACCATGCGGGGCGCGGTTCCGGACGCTAGCGTTGGTTGGGAACCGAACGGAGCGCATGGGATGCAATGCGGGCACGGGGTGTGGGAGCTACGTCCGGACGCGGATCTAGGGTGGACATCCGGACGCTAGCCTTGCCACAAGCAATACGCAAGATGCAAAGTCTCAGATATTCATTGTTTTTATTTCTTGCTCTTTCTGAGAAATATGGTCATGTCAAGCACTACAAGAGGGACATCATAGATAGATGGAAGGATTGCGCAGGTACTATGGTAAACTGAAACTAGTACTAATTAAGTAGATGATGTGTCATGAAACTAATACTAATTAAGTAGATGTGTGATGTGTCCGGTCTTTCGGAGCTGCAGCCTGCAGCAGCGGCTGTTAAAAATCTCGGCATGCTCAGCCGTTTTTTAGCCAGTCGAGCAGGGTTGCTCGCACCTGTCTCTGCTGGCTGCAAGTCCTATTGACCCAACCGTCGGACATAGCTGCTATTCTTTTGACGCACAGCACCACCTGGCATTGGCCATCTGTTCGGCTGCTCGTAAAGTCGCTTATGCTGATTTATACGGCTGATATATTAAGAGAGAAAATACTATACACGATTGATAAGTCGGCTTATACAGCAGCCGATCAGAAAGCAAAGGCGGGGCGCCGGCCGGCACGCACTTTACGACGACGCGGATTCAGTTATCCGTCTCGGTGGCGGAAGCGGAAGAGCAAGGCCCCCGACACCGATTCCATCTGGAAGTTTGGAACACATATGGATCCCAGAATGCCCACCCCCGCCCACAACCACGAGATGCGACGGCGATCTGCATCTGCTGTTTCCGTGGTACATTGCAGGCTACAAGTTCGTTGGTGTCTAGAAGTTCAGACTTCAGGACACCATCATCGTCAGAAATTCTCTAGGTTCAAGATTCTGGACCAGTGCCAATGCCTAGAATTGGTGCCGAAGCAGAACCGTCTGCATATCCGTCGCCAGAATGCGGTCCATTCCCTTCCTCAAGTGGCCGATGCATCCGATCCCATGACACAGCATGCTTAGGCATGATCCTAGACATACTACCCCAGCCCAATCACGTATTTGAGCGTCTCAGTGCACAACTTCCTGTACACCATAAAACATATATAGTACTGTGCTACTAATGTCAACGTCACTTGGCCCATCTATAATACGAGAATACCGTAACATGTACATCATAAAATATTTGATTGTACTCCGTCCGTTAACCGTGCATCTCATATTTTAAAAATAAACAAATTTTGAATGTAACTAGATTTATAGAAAATAACATTGACTTTGTATCTCTAAATAGATTTACTATGGAATTGTATATTGTAATTAATCTAGTTATACTTATTTATATCATAAATATTTTTTTTTTATTTGACCAAACTTTAAGATTGTTGGACTCCTTAAAATATGAGTGCCCTCATCTTGAAGTACTATACCGCCAGCCTGACTGAACCCCAACTGGGGAAGAATGAGCCGGCTGATGTTGACTCTGCAACGAGTAGAAATTCTCTTCGGCAACAACTATAACCAAAGGATACACGATTCAGGGTCAAACTCTTGACTATAAATTAATTAATTGAACACCTCTCTCAGCACATATGACATATCACACGATGAATCTCTGCTGGTTTTAAGCTATACTATAGCCTATAGGAGGGGGCTTTTTTTTTTTTACATGTACACGAACGAGGTTTACGCAGTGTAACTGCACAACCGGCATGACTTGATCGAATGATGTACAGGCTTCGGCGAGATGCACAAATCCACCAAAACTCAAGGCCCTGTCTTCGCCAAAGGGTTGTGATTTATGAACCATATGGCCATGGAAATGTTTTAGCCACTGAAATTCACAACAGAGAAAGAAGAATGGTCAGTTGGCGAGTAGTATGTAGGAAGACCAAAATATCAGTAGATCACAAACTGGTGAAGGGTTCTAACAAGCAGCTGTACACTGAACCCAACAGAAATCCATAGAGTTAATTTTAATATAATGACTCAAACCTCAAATGGCCAAGTTGGATTAAAAAGGTTAAAAATCACATCTTTAGTTATAACTACAACATTTATATAACTTAGATATCTCATCAATAGGGGTTGTTTTGATTGAACCAAAATTCAGCACATGATGCACAATGCAGGACACATGACGGTTACTACTAACTGTTAACAATGCATCACAAACCTATTGAGTCATGAGCATATCATGACCAACAATGCTTTACACACTGTTTGTTGTTTGTCACTGAATGAATAATATCATCTTGTTTAAACAAAGACAAGCCATTTCCACCTTTTAGTAGAAGTACATAGGAAGGAAGTGTATGCTGGGCACAACCCCCATTAACATGAATGACTTGTCGTCACATGGTCAGACCGTCACAGTAAGTAACGGCAAGCAACACGTGAGATGCAAAATCTCAGATATGCACTGTTTAATTTCTTGCTCTTTCTGTTCTTGAGAAATATGCATGGTCAATACCAAGTACCACAAGAGGGACATCATAGATAGATGGAAGGATTGCACAGCTACTATGGCAAATTGAAACTAATACTAATTAAGTAGTTGTGTCATGAAACTAGACCGGAAATTGAATAGCACTTACTTTCTACTGCAGAATTGACTTATGAAAAAAACGATTTTTTTTTCAATATTTAGCATAGGGAACTGAACTTACACACAAATGTTACTAAACTCTAAAAGAAGTTGTCGTGGTTGCTTGCTAAAGTTAGTAAATGATCTTAACTTAAAAAAAAATCAATTGCTTAACTGCTTAGCAGTTAGGAATACAAGAATATAGGTTATTGTGCTTCAACAACTAGCCAAGTGGGACTCCCATAAGACCAAAACGACAGCAGCTATCTTTGATTCTCGATGCAAAGCAAGCAATCTACTGGTAAAAAATGGAGAGTTAGAAATGGTAGAATCAAGGATTGGTAAACTCACCTTTTGAGGACTCCTGGACGAGCACGATATGCATTGCTGCATTGTTCGGTGGCAGCTGCAGACGGAGAGGAGTGAGCTTCCCATTGATAGGACTGCGTGTGCATATGATGATGTCTTCCAGGCCCGTCTCCTCTTGCAACTTGTGGGCGAGCTCCTCCAAGTTGCTGCCATTGAATGTAAAGGAGTGTCCAACTGTGCCGTCATCCACATTGCCCAGATCGTCTGCAATGTGGTAATGGATGGCACGTCCCTCAACCTTGTGCAAGGGAGCGTGGAAAGAAAGAGAGGACTGAAAATACGAAAAAAAAAATCAATGTCAACTCTTATTCTGAACCCGCCTGAAAGGCTGAGAAGTAACATGGCAAAAATATATGAAATGAGCAAGAAAGTAACTTTAATATGGAAGAAAAAAAAACAGAGAAGAAAGAAATTCTGAAAATCAAAAGGACCAGAGTAACACCATGCAGTCCAAGTCATTTGTACAGGCTAAACAAGGCGAAATTGTCATGATAGTTTGACAACATTAGGAAACTAACCAAACCAATTCAATAAGCGGCTAAGCACCGCAGTGGAGATGCAAGTAGTTTTGCAATTGGATCACAGCAAACAAGTCGGATAAATGGTTCAGCATGCAAAAATGAATTTTAATAATGCGCATTGCTTGCAGTCCCAACTATAATTTGGAGGAGTTCAGGAAGCAAAAAATGAATTTTAATAATGTGCATTGCTTGCAGTCCCAACAATAATTAGGAGGAATTAAGGAAGAAAAAAAATGAATTTTAATAATGTGCACTGCTTGCAGTCCCAACGAAATTTGGAGGAATATGTTCGAGAAAAAAAATAGATAATTTGGAGGACTTCCAGAAGAAGAAATAGAGCTAACTCAATCCTACAAAGTTGAAGACAGACAAACAGATACATAACTAACGAGGAACAGTCGCAGTGAATTCCCAAGCATGATTAGCATTTCAAAATCACCACAATCATAAAGTTTTCCCAGATCCCAAATGCAGTTGAGACCGGCAATCCGAACAACAGAGGTAGTAATAAACGCCTAATTAGCCGAAGAAGAATTTGGATAAGCACAAGTCAATTCCTTTGCGAAGACGGAATCACAAACCAATGCTAGGCACAAGCCGTCACGCTCGGCGGGGGCGATTTAGTCAACGCAGGGGAGCAAGCAAATCGGGCACTAACCTCGAGCTTGGAGAGCTTGGGCGGCGGCGGCGCCGCCGCCTCGGGCTCCAGCGTGGGCGGTGGCGGTGGCGCGGCGTAGGACTTGGACGGGCGGTGGTGCGGCGCGTGCGTCTGCGGCGGCGGCTTGCTGAGCTCCGGCGCGGGCGGCGAGTCCGGCAACTTAGCGACGGGAGCGGAGCCTGTGCGCTCGGGCGGCGCTGGCGTGAGGAGCTGCACGATCTCGACGTCCCAGAGCACCCAGTCCTGCGTGGCGCTGCGGTGTGGCACGTCGTGCGTGACGGAGTTCCTCCAGGGCGGGAGCCCGCCGTTGGCGCGGAGGAAGTGTCCCGCCTTGCTCCTGAGCCGCACCTGGAAGCCGTCCCGCACGGGCTCCCAGTCCACGGACGCGTTGGCGGGGCGCGACGCGGCGGGCGGCGTCTGCGTCACCTTCCGCCCCGTCATCCCCAGCAGGAACGGCTCCCCGGACGCGGTGAGGTAGTGCCCGTACCGGCTCCGCAGGCGGATGGCGCCCCCCCGGGTTGTGCGGTGAGGACTCCACGGTCCACCGCGCGTTCGCCGACGACCCGTCCCGGTCCTGCGTCACGTGCGCCTCGTCCTCGTCCGCGTACAGGAACTTGTCGTGGCTGCTCTTCAGCCGCACCACCTTCGCGCGCGCGAACAGCTCCATCGGGGACGGGAGGGGAGGGGAAGACGGTGGTGGTGTGGGATGGGAGGATGGGGGGGACCGGTGACGACTGAGGACTGGAGGATGGATGGGTTGGTGATTTGGAGCGGCGAATGAAGATGAAGACGCGGGGCGGGGGCGTGTGGGGTAAGCGTGCGGGGTGGGGCGGGGGTTTTGACTGGCTCGGCGGGGCCGCGGGGGTTGTCCGAGCTGTGGATGGAGATGCCGCCACCCGCCAGCCAGGGACCTCGTTAAACTTGGCAATTATCTTGGGTTTCCTTTCCTGCGCGTTTCTTCGGCGCGTTTCGTCGGTTAGGCTACACCTACTGTTTTAAATTTAAAATGGATCTTTAACATAATATATATATATATATATATAGTCTTTAACAGAGTATATATATAAAAAATCTATTTTAAATGTTAAGAGAGGTATAAACTAAATTGAAGTATCCTCTTTTTCGAAAACCTATTTATAGAAAAAATTATTTTTAGATCTAATTATTGGAGAGACAAAAAAGAGATATTAAACTCTTTGTCTGTACGTTTCTCATAGAACGAATAGATCTTGTATTTTTTTTTCATGGTTGTTGGAGACCGTGTTACGACCGTTGATAAGCGCGATGGCGTGCTCGGGGGTCGGGGCGGCTCGGCTCACGCGGTTGGGTTCGGTCGTCGTGGACGTGGCGAAGAGGACAGCGAGGGGACGTACGGGATCACACGGGGCGGGGCACGTGAGCTCGTGGCGATGGATCTTCTGATGCGGCGCCTGCCAGGTTTGGCTTGACCTGTGAGCGGGCGCCGGGAGAGACGACGTCACGACGAGATCTTTCGCGGTGCTTGACCCGCGTCCTGGAGACGGATCGGATCGGATGGATCTTCATCGGGTTCAGCGCGCGGCAGCGGCGGCCGAGTACTCAAACAGTCACGCGGTGTTTCGACACGTAGGAGACTTGGAGGAGTCTCTTTTTTTTTTTGTGGAAAGAGAGTGTGACTGTGGGAGGAGTCGAGCCGGCTCGTGAAGGAGTACGCGACAGCGAGAGAGCGTTGGTCGAGCGCATCGGCCGGCCGAGCTCGCCGCCGACGCCCGACTGCCCAAGAGAGGAAAGAATTAGGGACGAAGCATTGCGTGCTCAGCTTTGCAGACGTGTCGCGCAACGACAAAATCAAAGGCATTTGTATCTATAGACCGCTCGTTGATGTGACTTTGCAGCCTCTTCGTTTGCTCGTATTTGGTTTATAAGTTATAGCTTATCAGCCAACGAACAGTATTTTTCTCTCACACCAAACCAACTAATAGTACTTTCAGCCATGGCTTATAAGCCAAACCAGAGCGTTTAGCTACATACATACCCCGATGATTGATCAATAATGCTAGCCCACCGTCTTAAAGAAGATTACAGGAATTATAAAATACTAGTACACCGTAAAGCATATTGTTTGTGTATCGGCAGCAGTCGCTCCGAGCACGTCACTCGCTCCTGGTCCTGGCCAACACTCTCCGGGTAATCGCGTACGTACATTTTGGGCTCCGTGGACGTCATTTCCTTCCGGATTCTCAATCTGGCAGTTGCGCCCACGCTATGCTGCACTGCATGAGTGAAGTCTTGAAGATTCCCTCAGTTATATCTATCGAGGCCTCGTTTAGATTGCAAATTTTTGCAACCTGGACACTGTAGCACGTTTCGTTTGTATTTGACAAACTTTGTCCGATCATGGACTAACTAGGCTCAAAAAATCCATCTCGTGATTTACAACCAAACTGTGTAATTAGTTATTTTTTTACCTATATTTAATGCTCCATAGATGCGTCCAAAAATTGATGTGATGAAGAGAGTGAAAAAATTTAGAATTTGGAGGTGATCTAAACAAGGCCCTATATTATATCTAGAGGCTAGATCAAGCACTGCACCCTAGTGCAACACCCAAGCCATAAAACCGGTGCCCCGGCAAAAATGATGCACGAAGTTGAAAGAAATTGGACTAGCCGGCTACGTTTGACATTTGCGGACGTGGCGTTTGGGAGCTGTCGCTATCCAGCATGTACCACGATAATCCAGATTGCGCTTTCTGTCCCTACGGGAGGTCACGCCTTCCTCGTAGTCGTAGGTTACGCTGAGGTGGCGAGCACAGACAAAGCGATCTGATGTGGCAAACACCATGCCCACAACCACAACGCAAGGAACGAGCATGCGTGCAGTGCAGGTGCAGGTGAGGGCAGCACGTTCGGGCGGGCCAGGTGTGAAGCAAGGACGTTCCATCGTCAAGGAAACCACGTCACCTCTTCTCCATATATATATATATATATAACACGCAATCAGTCTGGAAAAAGAAAGGGACGGGACACAGTATAGGCAATCAGAATCCACCGATTTTTATTGCAAAACTTCCATCATAAGTATATCAACAGCATCTTCAGACTTCAGTTACAGGATCGAGCATCCCAGCATGAATGCCCAGCCGGTCCCCGGTGTAGTAAGCGATACTGTAGAAAGCTGAGTCGTCACTCGTATATACGGCCGGCTGTAAGTATATTCTTTTGGATAAATATCAGTCACTGCCGTCCAGCGGAACGGCGCGTACGCTTTTCCTTTCGTTTTGCCTTTTTCCTGCCTTTATGGTCGCGACCCAGGCAACGAAAACAGCGGCCATCCAAAGGATTAAATTCCTAGTTGGACTTGGCAGACTCTGCCTGAAAACTGTTGCCATCCAACATGTACAGAACCCTTTTTCTTTTTGCGAGAAACGTAACACTGTAATATGGTGTAGGTTGGGCAAGAGACCAAACGAACGACCTTTTCACATAACATAATGACCTGACGGCAAACACCATAACCGCACGGCCGCACAACACAAGAAACATGCAGACCTTTGCGCATAAACCAAACCGTGCAGCTGAGCTGACGGCGCGTTTAAGCGAGGAGAAATCAATAAAACCCCGCCACCTCTTCAATACGACACGCAATCAGTCACGAAATGAATGTGACACGTTATCAGCAAACATAATCCACTCGAAGTCACCTCATTTCCTGCAAAGTTTTCCGTTAGAAGTACATCCACAGGAATTCAGTCGCAGGCAGCATCACGACCGGTGTATGCAATGATAAGATGATACATACGGCATGAATATCAGTCACTATATCCAGGGTACAGATGGACATGAAACTACAATAACATCACAATCAAACTTTTAGCCTCAAAATTTTTTTGTGGAGACTGGTCGTCCAAGTCACCGTGCTGCTCTCCCGCAGCAATCCCACAGTTCCGAACTCGACTATCCTTTGGTCTTGGTAACACCATGTTGCAAGAACTTGGAACGGTATTGCTCCACCAGCGACTTATCCACGCCTCCTTCTTTGCTTGTCCTTTTCGTAGCCTTTCCTCTCTTTTGCTCTGCCTGGCTGTCTTTTCTGTTTTTCCTTTTCTTTGGAGCAGCTGCCTGATCACGCTCACTAGACACAACTTGCTGCATCAAACGAAACAGGTAACAATTTAACATCAATTCACTGCAGTAAAACTGGAGAAATTATTAAGAAGTATCATCAGGTACCAATACAAAAAAACCTACATTCCGAGCAGTGTTTGGGGTTGCATCTGTTAGACCTTGGTCCGGCAAAACAGTCCCCACATTCGACTTCCTTGCTCTCTTTGCAGGTCTCGCGCTTCGATCTCCAGGAACTAGTGGATCCTTGGCCGGACCTTCAACAGAATCAGATGGTTTAGATGGTCTATTGTGTGATTTCCGCTTGTTTCCTTTTCTGGAAGTCCTGCTGTTATCTGCATTATGGCCTTCACTTGCAGGTTGATCCCCTGAAGGGGTCTCCTGAACTTCTGCAGTTTCTGCTGCTGACTTGCGATGCCGTTCCATTCGAATCTTTTGAAGCCTCACCTTTTCAACATCCTCAAGTGCGAACTCTACAACTGGACGATGTTCTGAACCAAAAGTTTCTGCAAAGAGCGAAAACAAAAATAAATCATATAACTGGGACTGAGTCTGTTCACGACCATGTCGGAGATGGCCTCAAGCAAGTTTGTTCATAGAACAGACCAAGGTAGAAAGAGTATGACAAGACAGACGCAGTGATGTAGTGTAAAAACATTGAAATGTGGCACTAATGTGTAGTTGTTATGGTGGGCAAGGTGTACCATCGGCGGGATAAGCCAGGCGACAAGGCAAGTGGCTAAGGCCACGCCAAGGAGCCGGCTGGGCCGCGGTCACCACCCTTTGGTAGAAGGAGTTAGGCATATGAGTCTATTGTCGTTAAGTTGTTAGCATATCTAGAGTCAGTTAGTCAGTTGATTTATTCCCTAAAGATTAGGAAGTTGGTTATTGAGTCTTGTATAAGTTAAACAGTTTGCTTCTAATACGATTCAGCCTGGGATTGAGACTTAAGTCTCCCTTGGGCACCTGGCCCTTACTTCCTGCTCACCGTCATCTTATTGTCGTTAGCCACAACCCTAGGCGCCGAGCACGGCGCCGCCCGTTCGTCGTCGCGTGTTCAAGCCCAGGCCTCTAGTCCATCACCAGTACAACCTCAGGAGCGCTATCCCCAACAGTAGTATACTGAATATACCACTTAAGAACCGTGGCAATAAAAGGATTACTCAGTAGGCAAATCAATTCACTGAAAGAGACCAAAAGTTGCAACAGGGCACAGAACATTTGGCACAATATGACTGCAGAAACTATTCAGGAGTGGAGCATACCTGGGTTGTTGTTTAGAACCCTTAGAGCAACAAGAGCGTGCTCATGCTCTTGAAAATCAACAAAGGCTACACCACGTGAATGCTTCTGTATGCCTTTCTTTTCATTCTTCAGGATATTCACCTGTTCAACAAATTTATCGCCATAGGCATTATGAAACACACAAAACAAATGGCATAGAAGAAATTAAATAGAAGGGACTCCATGAAACCTTCCGGATGACAGGATTTTGTTTGGTAGCACGAGAAATGACTGCTTCTCTGCAAAGCTTCTTTACATCATTAATGGTCATAGTCTTAGGCAAATTGTAGATGATAAGCCTTGTTCTCGACACGTGAAATTTTGGAGACTGAAGCATCTCCGCTTTCCTTCTAGCTAACCTAAAACAGACAAATAAAGAAGATAATGTCATATCATCAATGTAAATATATGATCAAATGATGATGCGAATATTATCAGAAAATAAATCTTATCATTGACATAATATGTAGCCCAAACGATGTCAGCAGCAGTAGTTGCAAATATAACAGTTTTGATGTAGGAGTATGTAACAAATAGAAATGCAGTTGCCTTTCAAGCATGAACATAGCATTCATCGATCTGAAAATCATTCATTTGAAATGATAAAAGCATATTGGTGGATGGTCTGGGCACCAATTATGTTAATTTGCATAAAATCACAGTCTTTTGTTCTAAAATTAAAATAAAAGAATAGGAGTCTTTTGTCTAAAAGTAAAATAGAAAGAATAGGTATGGAACACATCCTAAACATAGTACCAACACTGATACTACCTAGAGTATGAAATGATGAAGAATGCCATCAACTCTTACCAATTACGTTTATTCATGTCAGCATCTGACACACCTTCTGCAGCTGGTGTTCCAGCAAGTATTTCACCCTCCTGCTTCAAGACCAAACTTTAAGGAACATAATAATGGAAGGCTTACTACAGTTCACGTGCAAAAACAAGTGCCAGAGAATTTGCCTTAGCCAAGTATAGGTTTAAATCGATCCTCGACCTCAGTCTTTGCCTTCTCAAGTGCCTTTTTGTGAGCTGACTCCTTGTCCATCGCTTTCATGACATTAAGTGGCCTGCTCTTTAAAGAAATTCCTAGGCCAGGAGCAACATTGGCGGCAGAAACTGCTGCATCAGCTGCCTCTGTTGTAGAAAACTTCATGAAACCAGTACCCCTAGGTCTCCTGCATAGACAGTACAAAACTGTTGGCATCAACGAGAGTGCCACGTAAACTTTCACTGGTCACTACAACTTAGGAAAAAGATGTATGAAAGTGAAACAAGATGAGCAAACATACTTAGTAAGTTTATGAAGAACCGGGAAGAAAGATTCAACCTTCCCAAAGACTGAGAAGCGTGCTGTTACCTCCTCATTACTTATATCAAAAGGAAGGTTGCTAATGAATATAGTCCTATCCAGGCCAGTATCATTTTTCTTGGGTTTGGAAGCAGGGTTACTGATTTCTGCATCTGTTACACGCTTCGACTTAGCCAACTTGCCAGCTACAGGTGAATCAGATTTCTCCTTTTCTGATGCAACATCTTCTGTTTCAGTGTCGGTATCAATGTCCGAACCTTCAATGCCAGATGGTTCAGACTTCTCTGATGACTTGATCAAATTCTCAAGAACTTTTCTAGAAATATCTGCTTCAGTTTTGAAATCATCCTCAGATGGACGATTAGAAATCTCCTGATCAAGTTCAGAGCTAGCTTCTCCAACAAGATTATCGTCAGAGGTGTCATCATCACTGACATTGTCAGGTATATTCTCAGGCTCTGGAAACACAATATATTCATGAGATACAGCCCCAAAATTAAAAAGGGCGTACCCAGTGCAGAGAGCTCCCGCTCTGTGCGGGGTCTGGGGAAGGGTGTCAGTGGCAAGCCTTACCCTCGCTTGTGCAATACAAGGAGACCGCGACTCGAACCCGGGACCTTCCGGTCACAGGCAGTAAGACTCTACCGCTTGCACCAGCCCCAAAATTAACTAAGAAAAAATGCAGAGCAAACATAACAATTGAGATGTCACACAAGATCCTATACCGAACATTTGTTTAGACAATCAGGAATAAGACTAGATAATTTTTAAATTAACAGAAGATAACCCTATTCCCTGAGGCTAATAGCTATTTACAGTATCATTCACGTAATATAGATCTTGCATTAGCTATGTAAGAACTCTTAATTTGTGTAATGGATAAATGAATGACTTAAGGAAAGATAGCTGATAAAGGAAACTTTATATTTACCATTATCCTTAGCATCAACTTTTGCAGCAACAGTGTACACTTTTTTGGGAACAGCCCAATCAACAGCCACTGGTCTCTTTGCAACAACTTTTCCATTAATATTTTTTATAGCCTGATTCAGAAAAACAAATCATGGCCCATTAGGAATTTAAATGGATCTGTGTACTCCAACTGAATACAGTACTGACCATACATTTTCTGCATCTTGCTTCCGCGTGAAAGATACAAAAGCAAAGCCTTTTGATATCCTGTTAAATAGTAGATGTAATCAAGCTATAATATCTTGCAAGTTTTATTAATCCACTTAAGGAACAAAGGATTCAATGGAACAGTAACATACCCATCATCAGACTTATATGGAATTGACACATCCCAGACAAACCCTGCTGAACTAAACATATCCATGATCTCCTTCTCTGTAATCTGCAAGTGACATGCACACAATTGGCTTATGTCATACGCCCAATGGAGGCCTCCCAACCTAGAGCTAACGGGCTGAGAGGGGCCCAAGGAGGGGCACCAAGCGCCTCCACCAGCGCGCCCTAGGGGCCGCGCGCGCCCAGGAGGGAGGACGCCGCAGCTCCCGTCAATCCCGCCGTCGTTATCCAAGTTACCATGTCGAGTCTATTAGAGTTTGGATAGAGTTTGGTTAGTTATGGAATTGGAGTTTGTTAGTATGAAAGGGAGAATCCAATCCTATAACGATCTCCCGTAGGTTGCTTAGAGTCCAAGTCCTATAGGGACTATAAGTACGAGGGGGATGTAATCAATCAAACCAGGCAATAGACGAGCGATTGCTCCTTCCCTATCTCTCTCCCTCTCTCCATGCGCCTGCCGCTCTCTCTCTCAGCGCCGCCTCTCCTTCCCACGCCGCCGCCCCTCTGCCCTAGCGCCGCCAGCCCCCTCCCCCATCACGCCTCTTACAGCTTATCTGCGCTAGAGAAAGAAAAGAATAAGACTTGGAACAGTGACCTCTTAACCAAGCACCTTAAATGGAAGGTTCCTGACAATTGCTCTCCATTTTCTGATCTTTGAACCCTAAATAGAAAGAAAACAAGTTTCAAGCACTTGCAACCAAATCAGTAAAGGATAGTGGTGATTCTACAAATGGCCAACCATCTCATGAGCAAAAGAAAAAAAGAAACAGAAATCAATAAACAATTAGAACTTTCTGTTAATCTTATGCCAATTCCTAGTTTACTACTAGCACGGTTGCAAGTAGTCAGTAGCCACTGAATTGATTATGGAAGCATCTTCCTAATTTGAAGAGAGGCAAAGAATACTTTTATCTTTTAGTCCATTAACACTTGATGACTTTAGGAGATTAGGGTATTACCACATCCTATGGAAGTATCATTATCAACTATTCAAAAGAAACTCCAATAATCAAACCTCATGCATGCACTGAGTAACATAAAACAATAACTATCTCTTTAGCTCTAACCTGTTACACTATACTACACTAAGCAACATAAAGAGCTGGTACTTAAATGACTCTGACATGCAAATTTTAGCTAACTTATTTAAAACCTATATTCTGGAAACCTGGAATATATGACTGTATGAGGTTTTGACAAGATGTCTGAGGCATAGACAAAATTTAGGATCTGAAGTTCTGAACCCATTTTTCGTTACAGAAATTATAATTTTTATTTAATAACACACTTTAGGCCTTGTTTGGATGCATGTGTATTCACTCCAATCCACATGTGTTGGAGTGGAATGGAACGGAACTTAGTTTAATTCCACTTCAACACATGTGGATTGAGATGAATACATGCGCATCCAAACAAGGCCTTAGTACTAAGGAGCAAGTGTTAAGACAGCATTTAACAAATACAAATAAACTCAGAAACACATACAATTAATAATTGCAATAACAGAAGATGCTTAAACATAGGGATAAAACAAGCAAACTAGAAGCAGAAATAAGGTGAATGAATCATCAAACATATGCAGATAAAAACAATGGAAAGCCATAGCCATTAAGTTACCTCTCCGCCAAGTTGACGAGCCCAAACAATAGCTCCCTTGACTTCCTTACGATGCAGTTGGACAACAGAATCCCAAGCTGATTTGACACTTGCAAAGAGTACAGCTGCCGTATCGGATGTGCATCCATCTCGAGCAAGTCCTGCAGGGGATGGCAGTAATAATTTGAAGTTAGAGGTGTTAACAGAATCATATGGTAATTGAAGTAAAGGAGAATAGGTGAATAACAGTATATGCTTGTTGAAACGACAAGGAAATAAACAAAATGAGACATGTCATGTATAGTGCAAGAGTTCTTCAACTTTTCCTATTGAAGCATAAAGCAACAGATGTACTCTTCATGAATCATGAGACATATACACTGCATCCTAATTTGGCAAAGACAAAAGAGTCTACGAAGAAGAAACAAGGAAACCGTTAAGAAATTCCTGCAAGAAATTATCCCAAGTGATAAATGAGGAGAAATTCATTATGCATTTTTTACAGGGATAACCAGCATGAGGCCAGAAACTGGAATCTCGAGATTGAAAACTGACACCGCTGAAGACATCATGTTTTTGCATCGTCCATACTCCATACACTAGGAATTTACAGGGACCAAATATAAACTGTACTCACATGCATATAACAATTACAAAGGCCTTGGGTCAAAACAGGCATGATGCCATAGACAGATTATAACCATAAGTAGTGGGTCAAAAGAGCCCCTTGAAAATTGCAAATTTGGTACATGATGAAAAAGTAACTCAAAGCACAAGCAGTACCATCACAGCTCAAAGATAACCCTGTAAACATGTACAAGCCTAAGATAAACACTTTGACGTTGCCAGGTTATCAGCATCATCACTCAAAAGACTAATAATGGTAATTATCACTGCGCTAAATTACTGCTGCAGAATTAATTCAAAGAACTTACACCAGGAAATTAAGCAACATAAAAGCACAGTTTACATGAAATTAGAATCCAAAGTATGTGAATATGAAAATAGCATACCATGGAAATCCATTTCCTCTTTGGGAAGTGGATAGTTTACAGATACAACTGAACCAATCTCTCGAGCTTGACGGAAAACCTCGCTTGCCATGGCGGAGTCTCATGAGGCCACCAAAATCACCGCCTTTTGCAACCCTTTATAATATAAGGATATCAGAATTGCCAATCAACCCAAAGGGAAAAAAAGGTAATATAGACGTTAAATGCTACCAAAACCTCCATGTATAGTTATAATTAACTGTTTGCAGCTTATCGACAAAAAGGTACAGATGAAATAAAGTAGTTAGATGGGAACCAAGAATGAGCCTCTGATAATGGGGGCAAATTTGACCCATAAAACATATGACAAGTTAGATTTAGGTGATGACTTCTGAAGTAAAATATTGCAGTACACACCTTTGCTTTTCAGAACTTTTCACTTTTTCGGGGTCACCAATGGGAGCTTCCTTTGATACCATAGCATCCTTTGACAACAAATGTGGTTGATCTGGTTCTACATGACATTTGCATCAGTATTGGAAAATACTAAAGCATCAGTATTGGAAAATACTAACCATGGCATAAACATAAAACAAAACAAAAAAAAGGTAATTTCCATTACAACCTGGATCTGTTTTATGAGATTTCCCCTTATGCTTTTCAGCAGGAGCAGTCTCGTCTGCTTCATCTTTTGCATCAGAGTCCTTCACTTGCACTGCTCACAAGCAAATAAAACACGAGGCCATCAGATCCACAATCTACTGAGCTTCAGCAGCAACAAACTGTTAGGAGAGGAGCCTTACTATTCTCCTTCTTTTGCAAACGTTCCTTCAGTGGAGCACGATTCATTGCTAGCTTAACTCTGATTTTCCTACCAGCAACAGGAAATCCATTCTTTTGTTGAATGGCTCGATCAGCATCTTGAACAGTTGCACTGGCATATACGGGAACACATTACATTAACCAAATCATCACTTAACAGTGTCAATGAAAACTTTATGCCTAGATTATTAGCAGAAGCACACTCATACATGAACGATCATAATAAACACTGGGACAGGTACCAATATGATTAGTTTATATCATTTGATCATTCTGGTCTAGCCTCTACTCTCTAGTGAATATTAAGTTAAGTTATGGTCTACGGTCAGCAAATTTGCTAACAATAAAACCCTTCTAAGTTCTGGTATACGGAGCAGTATAGTCTATGTACAGTAACCACAGGATGTGCAGGTTCATGAGCCACTTGAGACATTGACATAGACGAATTTATGGTTAACATTCAGAAACAGTCGGCTCAGTGGAGCTTCACATCATTCGCTCAAAACTGCACTCCGATAAAAGCATGAAGTAATCCCATAATACCAACATAGGTGATTCCTGAGAGAACTTACAGTTGCACGAACCCAAAGCCTCGACTCTTCTCCGATCCTGCGGTAAAGCAACCACAAATGTAGAATTAGCCAATGAAACCACTCCCGAATAAACAGCAACCGGATTCCTACAGCTCACCTTTCTCCGCGACCATAAAGCAGCGCCGCACTGGACCGACCTCGCTAAACACCGCCTCAAGCTGCACAACAACAAAACGCGCGCTTGATTCTGAACTACGACCGCGGAGCGAGGTAGCAATTGAGCACTCGGCAGCTCGTGCTTACATCGGAGGACTTGAAGGTGTAGGGGAGGTTGGAGACGAACACAGTGGAGGGGCTGTGTCCTCCGACAGCACCGCCGGTGGTCGCGTCGCCTTCCGCGGCGGGTTCTCCGTCGCCGCCGCCGCGCTGCTTCCGCTTGCCCATCGCCGGCGTCGTGGGGGAAACCGTGGGAACTGGGCCTTCGCAGTTGCGATGAGACGGGAGCAACTGTGGGGACTGTTGGGCTAGGGTTTTTAGTTGAGAATAGGAGGGACGCTGTCACGTGGGCTTGGGCTTCATCGTCAATGCTTGGTTCGGTCGATTTTGAATGGCTGGGCTTTCGGGGTAAGCTGAAGGAACGGCCCGCTGAGGACTTTTCTTTGGGATTTTTTTTAAACTAGTGGATTTTTTTATATAAATTTCGACCAAATCTATATAAAAAAAACTCGATCCGAGTTGGCTAGACAACTCTCGGGTATTCCGCCTTAAGAAGAAGATCTTTTCACACAGATTGAGAAAACCCCCGAACCTCCGCCCCACCCTTACACAGCGACATCACAGCTCCGTAAAATGAGTTGGACACAGATCTGTGCTTTGGATGAGGGTAGACGAGGGAGTTTTTTTCCTGGGCGCTGCGGCCGAAGCCACAAATAAAGAGTGAGTCCCTCAGGACTCGAACTCTGACCACCTCAGGGGGACGTACTGAGCCTGCACTGACCACTCTATATGTTGCATAATGAATCTAATAATACTTATTTTGTAATATAAACATTAATATTGTTGTGTATAAATTTGATCAAACTTCAGATAGTTTGACTTATGACAAAAACAAAAACATCATGTTTTTCTACACAAACGGAGTAGTTCTTACATGAATAATGATAACTAAACATTATTCTCGTCCTTTCCAAAATGGTAAACGTATTTTATATAAGAAAAAATCAAAAGTTAACGAATCTTGGCCAACAAATAGACAAATTATATAAAATTTAGGATACAAAACTTAAAACAAAAGATTTTTATTTAAAGCGTCTCTAAGTTGATATTGATTGTTTAGAAAAAATACATCAAAATATATTTTGTAAGGCTTTTCCCTTACCAAAGTATGCTCATCGTTCTATATTCATATCAAGAGTAATTATATCATCCGTGCCAAAAGCAATTGTGCAGCGTGGAACCGTCCATATGAAACTAATGGTCACTATTAATGATTTTCAAGAACATTTCATATTCAATTTTTTATTAGATGTACACCATGTATGATTCGTGTAAATAATGGCCACATTATAGTCATAAATGCTTAGAAAAAATATGCTACCCCCTCCATTTTAAATTATAGGATGTTCTAGGATTTCTAGATACATAGCAAGATGTGCACTATGTATATATAGTAAAAGCATGTATCTAAAAAATCAAAATATCTTGTAATTTAGACGGTGGTAAACTGTTTTGTTTAGGGGGTAAACGGTAAATTAAACAGTTGACCGTTTAAACGGTCAAAAAACGGGAAAACGGTCTAAACGGCCTAAACGGAACGGAGATAGACTATATTAAACGGGCTAAACAGCTGTTTAAACGGCTGCTTAGGCGAACACGAGGTAAATCTAGTTTAGTTTTGTATGGATAAATTTGTACACTTAAGTTTATTATATTTATACATGTATACACTTGATATGTTACAAGCATAAATATCTATATTTGGTTCTTTTTACATGCATAAATATATATACATACCAAAATAATTAATTTTTACTCGAATAAATATGTATAAATGCTAGAATACTTGATTTTTTACATGCACATATATAATTATATGTATTTTTTAAAAAAAGTATAAAACCGTTTAGACCGTTTAACTTCGTTTAAACATCATGTAAACAGCCTAAACGCTAAACGAAGGACGACCGTGTAAAGACCGTTTACCGTTTAGAAAAACATTAGTGCCCAGGCACACGGGCAAAAATCAAAATTCCCTCGTAACTATCAACGTTTCACCTTATGTGCACCCCCCATGGCCAAAATGAGGCACCCCTAGCAGGCCAGCAAGCAGCAGCTAGAAAAGATCGAGGCCCAAGCCCACCTCGCAGTTTCCTTCCAGGAGGAGGAATCGCTTTTCCTCCCAGGTCCTAGCCTCGGCGTTTCGCACTTTCACTTGCCGCTCGTGTCTCCCAAATAGACGCGCCCGCTGCCTGCACTCGCGAGTCCGCAAGGGTTCGCCTGACGCCGACGCGGTTGCAGGCTATGCCCTGTCCGGCTCTATACAGGGAGTAGGCAAGTAGCCGAGCGCCCGGCGGCCGGCGGCGCAACCTGGCACGAGGTGGCTAGCGACAGAGATTGATCCAAAATAAAAGGCAAGGCATCAACTCATCAAGCCCTCGATTATCCAGAATTTGAATCATGCTAAGCCTCGATCCATTTAGGGTTAGTGTAATTTTCTCTCTCTTTTTTAATATATATTTCTAATAGTATAGAACTGCAATAGTTTTTTTAAGCCATAACTGCAATAGTTTAGTCAACATGTTTCCTACAATAGTTGAAGTGCCACAAGTTGTTGAAAATGATGATAGAGATTGGAAAAATAGAGATCAAGCATCAAATCTTCTAGCATATTTCAAATCTTTTGACTTTGCCTTTTATTTGCATCTAATGTTGACTACATTGTAAATGTAGACTCCATTTATATGATCTTAGAAGAGATGGGTGGGAGAAATTATTAAATGAAGTGAATGAGTTTTGTGATATGCATGAAATTGATAGAGTGGATTGCTTTAACGATGTTATTGATTGGCTAGTTCAAGAGCTTGATAGCCGCTTTAGTGTGACAAGCTATCAATTGCTTGTTTGCTCGGCCGCTTTCAATCCAAGGGACTCGTTTCATGATTTCAATGTGGAGACTTTGATGAACTTAGCAAAACTATATCCTGATGATTTTAGTATTGAGGACTATCGGTGAGCTCTCTCATCGCTATTGCTAGAAGTCAAGTTGATGTTAAAATATGGTAGTTATGCATTAATTATCCTATTTTTTGAACATCATATGGGTTATTGTAGTTATGGTTAAGTGGTGCACCCCCACCGTTGTGCTCTAGCTTCGCCCCTGCTCGCTCCCAAGTCTGTCGATCAACCATCCCAAGCTCGCTTGCTTGAATATTGTGCTACGACCGATGGAGACCGCCACCGTCATCGTGGCTCCGGCTCTGGTGGCCATCACCCAGCCACCGCAGCACAAGCTTATGGAATTGAAGTTTTCCTTTGCCCTGGTGGCGAAATCATCGTCGTCGAGGAAGACCAAGCCGACCAAGAAGAAGCTCGTCGGCGGCTGTGGCGGGTACGTCCGACTTCCTCCATGAGCTCAAGGTGAGTCTGAAGTTAGTTCATCTTTCTTGTCTTGACAAAAGGGAGAAAAGATTGCTTACTTAATCCGACGAATTGCTTTTGCTCATGTTCTTGATTCTTGTTCATGTGCAGAGCTACCCGAATCCCCTGTAAGACCACCCCGCCTACTCTGTTGTCAAGTAAGTATCTCCCCTTGTGTTCTAATAACGTCTTCAATTCTTGTCAAAAATAATAAATACGGTGTGCTGAATGGCGTTGCTCTGACCGCGCAGGCAATACTTCGTGAAGCCAGATGAAACAGTGGCGAAGAAGATCGTGGTGCACAAGAGCAGTGTGCGGGGGACGCACTTCTGGCGCGCCGGCCTGCGGCGGCGCGTCTACTTCCAGCTGGATGAGGTGAGGGCGGCGATCGTCACCTGCGGCGGGCTCTGCCCGGGCCTCAACACCGTCATTCGCGAGCTCGTCTGCGACCTCCATGACATGTACGGCATCATCGCCATCTACGGCATCGAGGGCGGCTACAAGGGCTTCTACACGCGCAACGCGGTGGAGCTGACGCTGCACTTCATCAACGGCATTCACAAGCATGGCGGCACTGTGCTGGGCACCTCCCACGATGGCCAGGACACGGCCAAGATCATCGACAGCATCCAGGACCACGGGGTCAACCAGGTGTACATCATCGGCGGCGACGTCTCGTAGAAGGGCGCGACGTCCATCCACGAGGAGGTGCAGCGCCACGGGCTCAAGTGCGCCATGGTCGGTGTTCCCAAGACCATCGATAACGACATCGTCATCATCGACAAGTCATTCGGGTTCGACACCACCATGGAGGAGGCACAGCGCGCCATCAATGCTGCGCACGTCGAGGCCGAGGGCACCGAGAACGGCATCGGGGTCGTCAAGCTCATGGGCCGAACAACGGCTTCATCGCCATGTTCACCATGCTCACCAGCTGCAACATCAACTGTTGCCTCATCCCGGTGTCGCCCTTCTACCTCGAGGGCAAGGGTAGCCTCTTCGAGTTCGTGGAGAAGCGCCTTCGCGACAATGGCCACATGGTCATCGTCATGTCCGAGGGCGCCAGCCAGGATGAAAGGTCCTTGTTGGTTTTGGTAATTGAGTGACAACCTAGGTGGACTAATTGTGTTTATGTGAGATACATAGGTGATTAGTCCACAGGTATATGTGTATGAGCAACATATGCCATGGAGATGAAAATGGCTTGGAGATGTTGCAAAGCTCACACATGTGATGATGAAGGAGCTTATTGCACATGAGACATGACATTGAGTCATGTGATCAAGGTGGAGAAGATCAAGACAAGACTTGGCTTGATGGACCGGTTGCAAGCGTGAAGGGCAAGTCAAAGGCTTTGGAGTGATGGACCGCGTGGCGGTGAAGCTTGAGCAAGACTTGGCGCCGATGGACGATAGCAACGGTGAAGAGCAAGTAGAGTCAAGATCGATGAACCAATATGATCATGTGATGATATGAAGTGGATCATATCATTGTTGATCGTGTTGGTGCATGTGTTGCATCGACATTGAAGGAGATGGAATGGAATGCGCAAGGCAAAGGTATAACCTAGGGCATTTCATTTCACCGGTCATAGGTGTGTAGAGAAGTTTATGACCGGGTTTAGGATAGATGGCCGTACTATCAAGAGGGGCAAACTTGTTTGCATATCGGTCATCTAGTGCCACTCGAGTGATCTAACTTTGCATTGTCGCTAGGATCGAGTGGCGTGGCAAGTTGAGTGGCTAACATCCTTTGGAGAATGATTGTGAAAATGCTAACACACATACACATGGTGGTGTACACTTGGT